TAGAGCTTTCATATTTGTACATAAAATTTTCACATCAAAGTGTCTATGTATTTGAAGCTGTGCTTATTTTATTACCATTTTGGTTAATAGTGTAAAATGGAATATGCTGGTAAGTATTACAATATATCTATAATTTTTCTTATTTATTTCAGCTATGGTTTCTTATCTCTCTGTCCCTTGCTTTCTCTATCATCTCCAATTCAACTTTTACTTTTTCATCAAAATAATCTTTCTAAAACACAGTTAACAAGTTAACACATTAACCCCTTGCTTAAAACTTTCGATGATCCCATTATCTACATCAGCATTTCCCAAACCATGTTACATAGAGCGTTAGTTTCTTGTGTTCCTGGTGGTGCTCCATATACAAATTCATTTAAAATTTTCAGGAAATTCACCCAAGAAGTTTATCAATGCATTTTACCCTGAAGCTCTTTTTTAACTCTTACAAAGAAACAAGAACAAAAAACCAAACAATTTCAGTGAAAGTAGCTCAGAAAATAAATTATTAGTTATGTGAAATTTTAATCCTAATTTGCTACACAGGGTGTGATGGTTAAATTTCTCTGTTAACTTGGCTAGGCTACATTGCATAGTTGCAAACACTAGTTTAGATGTTGCTGTTAAGGTATTTTATATACATGGTTAATATTTACAATCAGTTAATTTTAAGTAAATCAAATTACCTTCCATAATGTGGATGAGCCTCATCTAATCAGTTGATGGCCTTAAAAACAAAGACATATTTACTTAAAAAGAAGGAATTTTGCCTTGACATTGAAACATACAAATCTCATTTAAATTTCCAGCCTGCTGGCTTGCCCAATGGATTTTGGACTCGACACCACAATATCAACTTTAATCTGAATTTCCAGCCTACCAATCTGTGCTATGAATTTTAAATTTACCAGTCTCAACAATTACATGAACAAATTTCTTAAAAGAAATCCCTATCATCCATCCATTCATCCATCCATCCATCCATCCATCCATCCATCCATCCATCCATCCATCCATCTATCATTTATCTATCTACCTATCATTGTCTCTCTCCCTCCCCCTGCCCCACACCAGAGAACATTAACTAATACACATGGTCTGACACAGTTTGATTGTTTTTGCTTTTGTAAGGTTATGCTATCAGTCAAAATTTGGTAGATCTGTAACCATTTCTCTCTCAGATCCACTGTGCTAACCTTACTTCAGTATTATTGAGAACACCAAGTACTTCTGGATCTTTGCTCTTGCCTTTCCCTCAGCTTGAAACCAGTGATCCCCTTCATATCCTGGTAAACTCTTACTCATCTCTAAGTATCCAGTTTATACCAATCTTTCTCTGAGAGCATTCATAGCCTAATAAATAAAATAAAATCATCATTCATTATTTCATTTAATTTGTTCATTAAACATGCTAATTGAATGTCTGCTGTGTTTAACGCTCTCAGAATTGAGCAGTGGACAAGAAGATATATCTCAAGATGAGGTGCCCAACTGTGTTTACTCAGGACACTCTAGTTTATTTCTGTTGTTTCGGAGTCATTATTAGTATTCATCCTTTCAGTCTCAAAAGTGTTTTTGTTTTAATAATAAATTATGTGATCTTTTTAATTATCCATACATATAATCTACTAGAGAAGATAAATACAAACATGTTATGAATTGAATTATGTCTTTTCCCCAACCCTCAAATATGTTGGAGTCCTAACTCCCAGAACCTGTAAATGTGACCTTATTCAGATATGGGGTCTTTGCAGATGTACCTAAGTTAAGATGAGGTCATACTAGGTTAAGGGGTCTAATCCAATGACTGGTGTCTTTATGAGTAGAGAGAAATTTGGACACAGAGATACACAAAGAGGACATCATGTGATGAGGGAAGCAGAGATTGTAGTGATATGTTTATAAGCCAAGGAATATCATGTATTACCTTATGTTTATAAGCCAAGGAATATCATGTAATACCTAATATCGTGTATTACCTTAACAACTAAGAAACTAAGAAGCAATAAAAAATCCTCCCCCTAAATCTTCAGAGAGCACAAGGCTCTTCTGACACCTTGATTTCAGACTTATATCATTCAGAACTGTAAGAGAATACATTTATTTTATGCCCCCAGTTTGTAGTAATTTGTTACAGCAGTCTTAGAAAATTAATAAAACAGGCAATTAAAAAAATTATGGGTGTTACATAAAGCAAGATATCGTATACCATATGTGACATTGTAATGGGAGATTACAGGGGCCTAATGGTTTTGAGAAAGTGACATTTGGGGGAGTTCAAGAATGACTCACGGAGGGTATAGCATGTTTAATGATCCTGAGAGAAGACATAGCTTGATGTTCTAAGGAAATGAAAAGAAGATCTATATAGTTGGGATTTAAGAGTAAAAAATGACAGCTTCTTGGATAAGCACTGTTCCAGTTGTGGAGAATCTGATAAATATCACAAAGATTTTGTACTTTATCCTAAAGTTGGCGCAAAGTCACTGAGCATTTTGAGTGTGGAGTTGAAAGTGGCATGATGAATTTCTGCTATAAAATGTCACTCATGCTTGATAAAACTTTGGATAAAGGACTGGCAGTGGGAATGGAAGCAAGTGGATTCCTGTGGGCCCAGAGGTGAAAACTTTGTTTTTGTTGGGTGTAGAGAATGAGTCAGAGAGGTGTGAAAGAAGAGTCCCAGTTTCTGGCTTGGACAACTGTGATGGTATCTTTTTGATAAGATGGAGAATATTAGAAAAGGAGAAATCAGAGAGAAGGGAGATTTCAATTTAGACTTCTGTTGCCTTTGAGGTGTATGTGAGAAATTCAAAAGCACATGCCAGTAATATTGCAGAAATAGGCTGCAGACTCAGAATTTAATTTTTGTATTATTTATTTACTTTTAATGTGAAGCAGGTAGAAGAGTTGGACAACAGTCATATATCACACACATACTGGACTAAGTCCCCAGTCTTTTTGGTACTTTGAGGTTATGAATATTCTTTAATGCACCCTTATGTAAAGCATCTATTTAGGAGAACTGTCTTTCTTTGTGGTCAGGAATCCCTTCATCTTAAAACTAACTCTCTCTCTCTCTCTCTCTCTCTCTCTCTCACTCTCTCTCTGTCTGTCTGTCTGTCTCATATTGCCATCATGGATTTCTTATGACACGGAAGAGAGGTTTATGTCACAGAGTGGGGATAGCTGTAGGTAGGGGACGCAGCGTAGATGGTGAGCATTATATTAGGTTACATTAGGACAGGGGAACTTTAGACAGAGGTAGCTTGTATTAGAGGGAACTGTGGAAATGATTAACTGTGACTTAGGAGTCATTTGTAGCCTCAGAGCTTTGAGAATCTTGTGTCCCCAACTCTCCACATTTTTCGTTCTTTAGCTTAAATCTCAATTTCTCAAGAGACAAATTCCTTGCCATGTACAATACATTTATTTTCCCCAGCTATCATTTACTTTTTAATTTCATGTTTTCTTTTGTACAAAGTTTTAACTATTTATGATGTCAAAGCTATCAGTATTTTTTTTACCATTTCCTTACATGCTTAGATTTCTCAATCAATTTGGATAAATCTACACATACATTTCCTTCTAAGTTTTTGTATAATTTATATTTATGTTTTCGATTTGTGTAGAATTTATTTTAGAGTATGGCTTTAAATAACACCCTAGCTTAATTTTTTCCCAAACACTCAATTTTTAAAGCAAGATTAGTTAACTACCATATTCCATGGTTTTGCATCCATTTTACCATATACTAAATTTTTATGTTAAAACGTGTTTCTGGATTTTAATATGCTATCATAATTATTCATTTATAGTTTATAATGGAGGAAATTCTTATCCTTTATCACTTCCTACCACCCCGCCCCCCTGCCATATGTGCCATTTACTATTCATTCAATGTTTTAGCTTGTTCTTTTTTTAAATATGATAAAATTATAAGTCTATGTAAAATAATTCTATTCTTGGTGTCCAGAGTTAAGTTATTCTTTAAACAAACAGTAGATTTTCATTTTACTTACATCATTCTAATTTGAGAATTCTGTACTAAAATATTAAACACGTCTACACACAGTAAATCAATTGCTGTCAAAGATTTATTGAAGAAAGTCAGCAAAGTGAAAACAGAATCATTTCAAAAGTCTGTGTCAGAAAAGAATGAAGATATATGTCCTTGAATTGCTAACCAAAAGCTTAAGAAGAGTGCGATATCAGTGCTTAAGACCTGAAAAAAATTGACAAAATTTCAGGAAAGAAATTTTAAAGAAATAAAATTAAATCCATTTATATATTTACATACAATATTGTTTTTGACAAATATATATATTAGTAAAATATCATTTGCCTTAGTTTTCATTCAACAAAATCCTAGAAATCTATAACATTTTCTGTATTTCTTACTTGTGGGTGCAAAACAATTACTGAAGAGCCTTAGTCTTATATGAATGAACATTACAGTTGTATTTTTTAATAGGTGAGAATCATTGGTTGCATATTAATAAAAAATCTGTTTAGAATAGGCATTTTAGATCTTTCAATACTATAATAACTTTCTGAGATGTGTTATTAATTCAATTCTTTTTATCTCTTTAATAAACACTAAACTATGCAATTTATCATTAACTAAAATGACATACATTAATAAATGTAGCAGAAAGTGATACTTCTTTATTGCTCTTTCTTCATGTCCCTGAAGGCTAGGATTAAATATTTTATATTAAAATAATTAATTATTGGACAACTCAGTTAAACTTTGTGATACTAGAGGAACTCATACTGCTGACTTTTGTAAGTTTCCATAAAAATATTTGCATAAATATATTTGCATAAATATATTTATGACCTTTATTCCGAAGCATCTGCATTTTCTAAGTCTAATACTTGCCTTAAATGTCCACATTCTTCCTTTTGTTAAGTTTTTGCTTGCTGGACAAACTTCTTAGGCATTAAAACTAGCTGTCTAGGCTATTGCACAGTCCTATGTGGCACCTATTTTGTTACTTTCAAATCAGAAACTCATCTGGTTCTTCTTTTAGTAGTTTAAAGACACCCATTTCAGTTGTAAACGTGTCTTCCTTGTGGTTTGCTGTGTCTAGATCAGGTGTAGTTCTGGAAAATGCCTCAGTGTCTTTAGGTACAGATTCCATTCTATTTTCAGACAAATCTTTTGTTGTAGTAGATGAATCTTCCAGGAGGCTCATAGCTACCGATTTAGGAACAACAAAGTCATATCTGGATTCAGCAGCAGTAAGCAAAATGGGATGGTCCTCTGTTTCATTGGCAATCTCTCTCTCCATCCAAACACTGACTCCATCCATGGACTCTTCATCGGTCAGCAGAACATCTTCTTGATTTTCTTTGTCTCTTTCAACAGTGGTAGTAAGTTCAAACACTGTGATGAAGTTTTCTTCATCAGAGTCAGTTAGTTTAGACATAGCATTAGGGTTATCCTCTGGAAGAATTAAGTCAATTTCAGTTATTTTCTCTTCTGTAAGGGCAGTTATGTCTGGTAGAGTAGTGAAGTGTTTTTCATTAGCTGGAGAGATTTCAGCAATAGAGGAGTCAGTGATCTGGACAACCTCTTCAGCAGTGACATTGGATTTAACTGAGGAACTATAATTGTTAACATTAGGTTTATTCTTCTTAGCTGGAAGGGCAGGAGTGTCAGTAATGCTGGCAATGTTTTTCTTCAGTGTGCCAGAGACTTCAGAAGTTATTAAGACATCTTTATCTTCTGGGTCAATGGTATCCAAAAGAATATCTTCTTTAGTCATGTTAGTGGAAAAATCTATTAAAGAAACAGTAGCAACTGGTGATGAAATATTACCAATTTTCACTGGAATGATATTTTTCATAATAGAGTCATTAGCCATGGAGTTTGTAGTGCCTGTCAGCATGGTAATTTCTTTCTCCAGGTGGGTTGATGACTTGATATGGGACTCCGCATCTTCTTCTGATTTCAGTCTTTCCTTTGGAGATGTAAGCTTGCTGCCTGTAGTTGTTGAAAAATTTTCTAGCATATAGTCATTTACTGAAGAAATGTGGTCTCCTTCTGAAGTAATAGTTGTTTCTGTTCTGGGAATAGTGTTGTCAGTCCCAAAGAGAGTTGTTGCATCAGTTGTTGTTTTACTGTTCTCTGTTGGAGGATGAGAATAAATTTTTGACAAACCATCTTCAGCCATGGGACAAAGTGGCACCATACACACTCACAGGTCTTTCTCTGGGCCCAGTGGTATCCCTAGGCAGGAGAGTGACGTTCATTATAGTGATGAAACATTGGTCATCATGGTGATTATTGCATCAACAACAGAGCCAAAGGCAGTGGCTTTCCTTGGAGGTTGTTTCTATGCTTTGATTGGGCACCTAGTTGCAGGAGTATTGATATTAGATGAAAAGGCAATAGAGTCCTTAAGCAATCAACATTCATAGCTGCATATTTCAATTGCAAAGAACTTGAGAGTTTTCATGTTTCTGTTTCAGGAAAGAAGATACTTATTGCAGGGTCAATCATGGCCCTCATATCTGCTTTGTTGTTGGTAGGCTCCTCAGGGATATCCTTTGGAGTAATTGTTTCTATCTGTGACTGAGAAATATCAGCCCCCAAAGACGTGTTTACTTTAACATCCTTGATAGCTTGTGGTATAATATAAATTTCTTGAAACCTAGATAATATTTTTTATTTCAAAAAATGGATTCATGTGTAACATTTGTGCTTTCTGAAGTTTGAAATTCAGTATCTGTTGCTCTGAGATTCACTATATTAAATTCCAGCTGAGAATTTCCTTCTACCATGAAAATGGTCTCCGTGTAAGATGAAGACTTTTCATCAGTAGGAGTAATGGTAATTACTACTGTGAACAAGTTAGCATTTTCAGCTCTAAGAGTGGGTTTCTTGAGGAACAGATCCATCTGGGAGGGAATCTTTGGGTATGTGAAAGCTTGAATAAGCTGCTTCAGGGACACTGTCATAATCCTTACTGACTGATTTATTATTGGCAGTGATATTTTTATTCACAAGATAAGGCTTTTGGATACTTTGTTTCTACCTAGATAACCGAATCATTTTTCTATTATTATGTTTATATCTGTAAGGTGATCCCCTTTAAATTTAGTAGCTACGTCTTTTACTGTAGAAGCTTCGGTTATTATTATTTTTTTTGTTTTGCGTGTGTAATACAAATTTGATTTACTGTATTCATTAGTAAAAAGAGCAGAAAAATTCACAGTTCTTTTCTTGGGTTCTAAGTTTTGATTATCAGAGGCATCAATATAAAATATTTTTGTTCTTGGTGACAACAGTAGCAGATGTGTTAGGTTTGACATTGGCTATATTGTCCAAAGAACCAGTGGAATAAGCTTGGAAAACAGTATAGACAAAGGGGAGAGGCTTTGGGACCTTTTGACTTTAATATTTTACTCTTCTGAGATAATGTCTTCCTTGAAGTAAGGTGAGTCTGTAGACACAGGCTCTGATGCTGCTATTAACACTGTTGGTAATACAGGCTTGTACCTTTCACATGTCTGGGGGCTACAGTTCCTTTAGTAAGAGCATTAGAAGTTAAGATGAGAATTTCAGGCAGTTCCATAGACATAAGGCTTAGCAACATGGCGCTCTGATTATGGAAGTCTGTAATGATCAGTTTTATTTTTGTTCTTAGTGGAGATACTAGGAGCATTTGGCATATTGGCAGCCATCTTTTTCAAAGGATAGAAAAAAGTAAGAGTTGTGTTGATTGCCCCTTCTGTGTTTTCATTCACATTGGAGATGTCATCACTGGAAAACTGAGTTAGAGAAAAATTACTAAACCTTGAATCAGATACTGAACCATACCTGTTACATATTCAGGAAAATCAGATAGACTAGATATAGTAGTGATTGCTCTCCTAGGTGTAAATATCTTATAAATGGTAAGTGATATGTTTTTCTTGAGGAAATTATTAATGTTTTTGGAAGCATGATTAGTAGTATCAGTTGTGAATGTCCTGTTGTCAACTATGCATTTTGTGTCTGGAAAAAAAAAAAAGAATACTCAATTATTTCCTGTGTCAAGGCCGTCAGAGAGAATTGTGGTGTCTTCATCACTATTTATGGTACTTTTTCTTACAGGTGTTTTGTCAGAAAAACTAGAAAGACAATTCTTACTTACATCATCTAGTAAGTAAGTTGTGGGTCTACGAGCTTGGGTATTGACCCACAGCTTGGGTGTTGAGTCCACAGTGTAGGGTATTGAGAGCAATGGCATAAGTGTCAGAATTCTTGTTTTACTATCTAGGAATCATAGTTCAGCAATTTTCTTTAGCTTTAAACTCTGGAGGTGCTGTTTTAGATAGACTGTTTGAAGCAGAACTGGTATATGGTACATGAGACGTGTTTTGGAGGCATATATAGTGCACTCATTTTTAAAGGTAATTATTTGCTCTAATCTCTAATTCAAAGGCATGCTTGTCTGAGACATATTCAGAACCATTATCATCAGACATAATAATTATATGGTCCACATATGTTGGAGTGATTTTACCTGCTGATTTTACCCTTTTTGAAATGTCTTCTATAAAATAAATGATTTCATATTCAACATCTCTGTGTCTCTCCTCTCTCTCTTTCTCTCTCTCTCAGTCTCTCTCTCTCTCTCTCTGTTAGATCTTTGTGCTCACATATATTCTTTTTAAAAGTACTTGCCATGCATTTTTCAGAGGTAATGATAATAGGTGAAAAGATAACTTTATCAGATAGAATAATTATTTTCTTAGAATATTATAATCAATCTTTTTATGGTATCTTTCCCCATAAGTAACAGGAACAAGCTCTGAATATTTAGATGTTCCCATGGATGTTGTGAAATCAAAAGGAGGAAAAGTTGACCTCTATTGTAGTCCATATAAAGCAGTTATAGTGTGTTCAGCAGACCTTCCTATATTAGTGACTTCATCATAAGAGGCAGGCCTAAATCATTCTTAAAGAGTTAAAATGGAATCAGCTAAAAATATTGCTTTTAAATTGAGAGATATTTGAAGTTTGGAGGAAGTAACATCATATTTAACAGCGAAAGAATCATTCATATTGTTGTCACTCTTGGAGAGAGAATTGGACTCAGTTGTGATGAGAGGATTTTCCCCATAGATGAGATGAAAACTGAAGTGTTTGTAAAATTACTTAATTTCAGTTTCGCAGCTGGATCTTCTTGATTGAAAAGATTAGCTATTTTTCTTCTCTTGTAGATACTATTTTGAGACTTTTTTCTGAAGAAGAGGCTTTCATTATTGCTCTTTGAGATTTGGAATACATTTTGTCAGTCTTAGTTATGTAATTGTCAGGAGTATATTTAGAGAGAAAAATAAGTCAGCTTCATCTGTGGCACTATCTGAAAAAGTAGTTAATGCAGTTGGAGAACATTCCAGGCCGATGGGTAGGAATGAATGTCAGCTTGAGTTATAATGATCTGTCTCTCTGGAACATCACCTCTATTACTGGCATCGGTATATTCAGTTGGCTTCTCTTGCACTTCTGATCTAGCTATTAAAGATTCAGACAGAGTTCTCTCTCCCTAGGCCAGAAGCTTCAGGATTTTCAATTAAGAAATTAGGAACGAGCATGGCAGATGTTAACAGAGATGAGAATACTCTAGATTTAACATTATCTTCTCCAAGTAACATATTTACCTTCAGTGGAAAGAACAATGGAACCACCCACAGTGCTGGCTGCCTTATTCATAGGTGAGGAAAAGATTGAAGCTTTGTTGTTTGCTTCCTCAGTATTTTTACTGATAAAGAGAAGATCATCATCAAGAATGACATAGAATTCAGCCAAAGGAATAATATTGTTCTGTGAATGAGGCATATCTGCCACGTTTGTTTTATATATTTATTTGCATCGAATCTGCCTGATATGGTGGTTTTTGCTTCATCTGGGGCAACGTTATTATAAAAAGCAGATGAGACATCTTTCCTGTTGAATCGGTCTTTATATTCTATAGGATTAGTCATCACAGCAGGATCAATGGAATCTGTTCTGAATATCTTACTCTTTCCTGTTTTTGTCATTAACTCTGGGTCTGGAACAAATGGGTACTCTTTTGCCTTTAGGGAGAATGGTAATGGTGTTATTTCCAATTAGAGAATGACTTTTCATAATTGTTTCACCTAGAAACTCTGGTAAAAAAAAATCCAACTTGAATCAGTTAGAGAATAAATCATGGATCTGGGAGCCTTATTGTTAATTGACAGTAGAACTTTTGAGAACAGTAATGTCATTGTCAGAATTAGGGTTTTCCTCTTTGGGAACAAAGCTTTAGTGTTTTTTGGTAGTTTTGATACCAATTGGAGATCCTTGGGGATAAATGTTCTGAGACTGTAGCATTGGCATAGGGTACATGATACTCATAGAATGGAATCATTAGTAAGTGTGATCTTTCCTATAACGGGACTATTTCCTTCCTTCACCAGCTCAAAAACACCGTTCTCTGCAATATATTTAAGGGCACTGTCAACAGGATTAATAGTTACTATATCCTCATTATTTGGAATATTTTCACCTGACAAAAGGGTGTCATGTACCTCTTCTGAAATGTCTTCTGTAAAAGGAACTACTTCAGTGGATATATCTTTATAGACATCTTGTCTCCAAATTTATTGTTATTAATAGTATTTTCCATGTCTTTCATTGAAATAATGATAGTAGGTGAAATAATGGCTTTGCCAGATGGAGTATTTCTTTCTCCAGGTGGAATAATATCATTAGTCTTTGTTGTGGTGTCTTTTTCCATTTTGATTACTGGATCAAGTCCAGAATACTTAGATGAACTCATAAATGTTGTGAAATCAAAAAGAAGAAGAGGTGATTTCCATGGTGATAGGCCATATATCCCAGTGAGAGTGTTTGCAATGGTCCCTTTTTCAGTGGTGACATCAAGAGAAGAGCTTTGATAATTAGACCTAGATGCTTCTGGAAGACAATGTGGAATTAACTGCTAATATTCATTTTAAATCAGGGGATGTTTGAAGTTTAGTAAATGTGGCACAAAATTTAATTGTGAAAGAATTATCTTTTAATATACTTGAATATTTTGGAAAAAATTGCCTGTTTCAGAAATATAGACTTCTTACATATTGTTGTCACTCTTGCACAGAGTATTAGGTTCAGATACTGAAGAAAAATTTTTCTCCAAAGCTGAACTGAGAATGA